GCAAGTTGTGCTTTCCGCAACTTGAAGAACATGTTGAAACGTTGAGGCTGCAAACAGCTTGTGCGGGAGGTCAGGGGGGCACCGAATATCAACCACCGGCAGGAAGCGTGGAGCACAAACGTCGGAAGCACGTCTGCTACTTAAACCCATTCTAAGCTTTCAAGCCTGAAGAAATACAGCAAAGGAATCCTGCTTTTGCTCCTACTTGAGCGCCGCAAAGAATGCTTACAGTGCCATGCAAAGACCAAAATACCCCAATTGGTGCCGTGAATCCCTTATCTGGGGTTAAGATCGATTTTCCTGGAACCCCCTGGCAAACATAAAGCGGGGCTCCTTAAAATCCTAAACCCTGCAAGCCCCAACAGCCCTATAAACCCTCCAAGCCCTAAACCTCCATAAATCCGGAAAGCTCTAAAAAACCCTGATAAACCCCCAAAACCGAAGCCCTGTAAACCCTAGAAGCTCTGCAAACCCTAAAACCCCTACGAACCCTAAGAACCCTAAAAAAGCCCTAAACCCCAAACCCTACAAGCCCTAAACGCCCAAACCCTAAAATCCCTAAACTCCCACACCCTAAATACCCCAAATATCCTTAAAACCCTAAAAATCCTATAAACCCAAAAAAACACCGAAAAAAGCGCTAAACCCCAAACCCATCAAACACCAGAAACCCTAAAAAACCCTCAAAAACCCCAAGCCCCCTACAAAAACCCAAGTAGTTCCCAAAACCGCAAACCCTAAACCCTAAACCCTAGACCCCAAACCCCCAAAACCCCCAAAAAACGGTGAGGAGCCGCTCTTCGCTGGAGAGACCTGCAACACGACCTGCGACTCAGGGATGATCCTCGGCTCTGTGATTTTTAGGGGGGGCGCCCTAAGGGTTTAGGGTTTAGGGTTTAGGGTTTAGGGTTTAGGGTTTAGGGTTTTAGGGTTTAGGGTTTAGGGTTTAGGGCTAGGGTATAGGGCTTAGGGCTTTGGGTTTAGGCTTTGGGCTTTAGGGTTTTGGGCTTAGGGTGTTGGGCTTTGGCTTTCTGTCTTTTTGGCATTCTGGTGAACCCCAAACCTTCTCGCACGCCGAGTAGCCCCCGCAAACCCTCAACCCTACATCCTAACTTTTCGATATGGCTCCTTTCCACCCAAACTGCATGCCTCAATTTTGAGAATTATTACGATGAACACACCTTAAACTATATAGGGCTTCTTAGTATTGTTTAAGGTACATTCTTTAGCTGGGGAGTATTGGGCTTTTTGGGATCTTAGGAAGCCCACCACCACCCCTTGAAAACACCCACAGGTTTAGGGTTTAGGGTTTAGGGTTTAGGGTTTAGGGTTTAGGGTTTAGGGTTTAGGGTTTAGGGTTTAGGGTTTAGCGCGTTGAAAGGGACTGGGCTTGAGAATGGGGGGGGGGGTTGGGTTTAGGGTGTAGGGCTTAGGGTTAAACCCTGAACCCTGAACACCCTAAACCCTAAACCCTAAACCCAAGTTTGCAACTGCATCAGGATGGTTTCGGTGGCTTGCCTGGCTGACGGGACGTGGCTGCTCCTAGACTCATTCACGCCCGGTTCGCGGGAATGCGCTGCCCAGAGAGCCCTATACAGAGTATCTAAGGAATGTACCTTTACTGGGTTGTGCTTCGGGAAAATTTTAAGCTTCCCTTCTTTCCCTTTTGAAGGGAACCTGTTCAGAGATTATTTTCAAAGGGTTTTAAAGCGCTATTCTTCCTGTTCAGGATCCCTCTCTAGCCTAAGATGTGTTCCTCAAACCCTATACCCTACTTGGAAGCCCGGTTTAGTAAGTAGGGCTGGTAAGTTGGGTTAGGGGGATTGTGAATGGGCTTCTAAGGGGATACTACGTAGACAACCAAGTCACCAGGGCTTCCAAGTAAACTCTTAGGGTAGTTACATGGTCCCTTCATATTGGCCCTCAAAAGGGGACCCCTTATGTACCCCTCATATACCAAAACCAACCCAAGGGCCCGTACATCACAACCGTTGAGGGCAGGCAAGGGACCATACTAAGGGCCACGTAGCTACCCCCCAAACCCTAAGCCCGAAACCCCAAACCCTAAGCCCTAAACCCTAAACCCTAAACCCCAAACCCTAAACCCCAAAGCCTCGCGCCTCCGAGGTTGGAATCGGACTGCCCGCTGCAGTTTCACGACCCGGTTCAGGCGGGCGTCGACCCGTTCCTCATCGTCGTGCCACTGGGGCCGAAAATCATGGTCTTTTTTAACTATTCCCCCTCTATAGGGTTTAGGGTTTAGGGTTTAGGAGTTTAGGGCTACCCCCCAGGTCGCCAAGTCCTGAGGGTTTAGGGTTTAGGGTTTAGGGCCACGATTTGGAGGCTCATGAGTAGTCACAAGTAGGGTTCGAAGTATGGTAGCTAGACTTGTAGCCCAATTTAGGGGACTTATTACCCTACTCAGAACTACCCATGCACCTCCAAGTAAAGCCCCCTCGTTGAGCCCTCAACCCTCACCCACCCACATCCTCAACAAAATCTCAACTCCTAAGCCCTAAACCTCTCCTCCATACATATTTAAGCCCTTAAAACTTGTCGAGCACTCTCCACATGTTCGTGGGCGCTATTCACATGTACGCGGGCAGTCTCCAAATTTTCGTGTGCAGTGGGCATGATCATTTTTTTGCGGACGTCATCCAATGTTCGAGGGCACTGGTTATCCAAGTTTTCGTTTAACGCTTTTGCCTAGACCCGGAGCTGCGAGCCCTATATATGCAAGGTTTAGGGTTTGGGGAGCCCCAATCCTAGTCCAGATCAACCTGAACTCCACAACCCAGCTCTCGAAACCCTCAAACATCTCCTCAGCGGTTTTGGGTTTTGGGTTTTGGGTTGTGGGTTTTGGGTTGTGGGTTGTGGGTTTTGGGTTTTGGGTTTTGGGTTTTGGTTAGGGGCTAGGGTTTAGGGTTTAGGGTTTAGGGTTTAGGGTTTAGGGTTTAGGGTTTAGGGTTTAGACCTAAACATTCAGCCCTGAGCTGCAAACTAAGCCTTAAACCCTTGAACCCTTGAACCCTAAACCCCTAAGCCTTTATGTCAAACCCTTGAACAGCCAAACCTTGCAGCCCTCAAACACTCAACCCTAACCCACTCAACTCTAATTTTGAACCAACAGGCTACAGAATCCTAAGCAAATCACCACAGCTGTAGGGCCCTTCAAAACCCCAAGCCTTGCACCCTCAGGTGTAGGAGCTTATACGGTTAGGGTTTAACCCTAGACCCTAAAACCTGAACCCTACCTGGAGGTTCTTGGGGTAGTGGGATACAAGTAGGGTTATAAGCATGGTCACTGCACTTAGAGCCCTCTTTAGGAACCTATAAGTCTCTAAACCCTAAACCCTAAGCCCTAAGCCCTAAACCCTAAACCCTAAACCCTAAACCCTAAGCCCTAAACCCTAAACCCTAAACCCTAAACCCTAAACCATCCTGAGGTTGGGCTCAGCCCTTGGCTTGTGCTGCCTCGTCGCGGTCTGCGGCCTCATCCTCTGCACGCGGCGCAGCGACGCCGATCCGCTATGGGGGTTTAGGGTTTAGGGTTTAGGGTTTAGGGTTTAGGGTTTAGGGTTTAGGGTTTAGGGTTTAGGGTTTAGGGTTAGGGTCTAGGGTCTAGGGTCTAGGGTTTAGGGTTTAGGGTTTAGGGTTTAGGGTTTAGGGTTTAGGGTTTAGGGTTTAGGGTTTAGGGTTTAGGGTTTAGGGTTTAGGGGTGGGGTTTGGGGTTTGGGGTTTAGGGTTTAGGGTTTGGGGTTTAGGGTTTAGGGCCCACGGGGCTAGGCCTACTCGCATCACAGGGTTTAGGAAGATCTGACTTCGGAATATGTTTCAGAGGGTTTCCGGCAAATCCAGTTGTCAGGTTCAAGGGCTTTTGGGGAATCAGGGTTCAGTTTAAGAGTCATCTCGTCCTAACTACAGACGGTTACTGTATGGAGGAGAATCCCACAGAATATTATCATGGCCTTTCGCTTCTAGATTGGTTTCGCGAGCTAGCAGGATACTTGCTGCGGGTGGTAATTCCACTGTTGCTGACTCCCCGAAGCTCCTTACCACCAGTCAGGAGAAGGGCTCGTGCTGCTGCTTCTCTCCAAACCCAAGCCCTAAACCCAAATCCTAATTTCTAAACCCTAAACCCTAAACTCTAAACCCTTAACCCTAAACCCTGAACCCTAAACCCTAAACCCTAAACACCAACCACTCTGAGGACAAGACGGCTCCGGATTCCGAACCCAAGGAGGAGGAGCCCGGATTTCATTCTCTGGGGGCTTTTCTTATTATTCTTAGTAGGTGGTTAGGGTTCAGGGTTCAGGGTTTAGGGTTTCGGGTTTAGGGGTTTAGGGTTTAGGGTGTAGGGTTTAGAGTTTAGGGTTTAGGGTTTTAGGGTTTAGGGTTTTAGGGTTTAGGGCTATTCCGAGTAGGGAGTCCGGGAATTAGCCCCCCCCCCCCCCCTAACACCCTGAACTTTCAAAGGGGTGAGATAGCAAGAATCCAAACATCCCGAACTGGGTTTTGGACTATGCTTTAATACTTCTTTTTGGTTCTGGTTCTTATTCTTGCTACTTATACCCAAGGTGTATGCTTGTTTTCCAAGGTCTACTCCAAAGCCTTAAAACCCAAAACCCAAAACCCTTGAAGGGGCAAATGCCCAGGATCCAACATCCCGAATCCCCGAAACCCTAAACCCTAAACCCAAGAACCAGGAATTTCAGGGCTTCAGGGACTTAGGGATGTGTAGGGACGACCAAAAGTTGGTCACGACCCTAAACCCTAAACCCTAAACTTTAAACCCTAAACCCTAAATGCTGTCACAGGTGAGCTGCGTTTTTTGTCCGCTCGAGTAGAGATACTGTGTTGTGGACATTCTAAATGTCCGCGGAAGGGCGCCAAGAGATGAACACGATTGCGCGGAAGGTTTGCAGGCTTGGGGTTCGCGGAAGGCTCGCGGAAGGCGGGTGTTCAGCAGAGGTACTTAGAAGTCTCCGCGGAAGGAGCCCAAGAGGTGAACAAAATTGCGCGGAAGGTCGCGAAAGGGTTTGTGGAAGGCCTGACCTTAAACGGCCTTAAAAGGTCAGGCTGTCCACCCCCCCACCCTGCGCCTGACTCCCTTCCTTTCCCCCCTCCCCCACCCCCTCCGTAACACGTGCACGCGCGCACACGCACACAAACAGAGTCAGACTGAGAGTGAGAGACTGAGAGACAGAGAGACAGAGAGATAGACGGACAGACGGACAGACGGACAGACGGACAGACGGACAGACGGACAGACGGACAGACGGACAGACAGAGAGACAGAGACAGAGAACTCCTGCGGAAGTTCATGGGGGTGAGAAGACCAGGAGGAGGCCATTCTGCAATGTCAGTCAGCTGTCTTTGCTTTGGAGCATTGAATCTCGGAAGGTAGCTGAGCATGTTTGCCCACTTTGCATTCTGCTCCAAAGCGTTCGTTGGGGTTTACTTGTTTTGTCCAAGTTTGTACAGCTGCTTCTGCTAGCCATGAAAGCCGATGAGCAACCGCAACTATCAGTTGGCTGCGGGATTCGCAACTGCCCGGGGTGTGCAGTTGCCAAGCATGGCAAGGACTTCTACAAGGTGATTTGCGACATAAGAGCCACCATGAAGCCTTCTACGTGTCGCCTGGCGAGTGGGAGTGGAAGACCACGTGCGGCGAGGTGTTAATCATGCGGGAGTCGGCGCCTCTGTTTTAGGCTGATTTTTCGGGTTTAGCTTCGAAACCCGAAGCCCTAAGCTCCACCCTTGAACCCTCAACCCTAAACCCTCTACCCTTATTACCCTTTAACCCTCAACCCCAAACCCCAAACCCTAAACCCTAAAGGGTTTAGGCAAGCGGTTTAGGGTTTAGGGTCTATAGGGCTCAGAGTCTCTATGATCAAGGGATTAAGACGCTCACCCCGAAGGTTGTGCCCCTAGAGGTTCCCCTTAATAAGCTCCTAATATGACCCCTTCTACTACTTTAAGGATCTTTAAAGGGGTCCCCCAAAACCCTAAACCCCAAACCTTAGGCCCTAAACCCTAAACCCTACACCCTAAACCCTAAACCCTAAACCCTAAACCCTAAACCCTACTACGAAGCACCAAACCAGCTTTGGGAGGCGCCTCCTTTGCCTCAGCCTCTGTCCTGGCCTTGGTTGCCCTTGCCAGTGCGGGGTTTAGGGTTGAGGGTTTAGGGTTGAGGGTTTAGGGTTTAGGGTTTAGGGTTTTAGGCTTTAGCGCTCAATAACCCTTAATGACGTCTTAGGGTTAGTATTTCTGCTCAGTTTTCCTACTTAGAAGACATGGGTTTAGTTTTGGGTTTCGGGCTAGGGTTCAAAAGGTTTTTCAGGGCATGTAAGGGGCGGCACTTGGGGTTTAGATCCTAAATCCCAAACCCCAACCACGAACCCTCAACCCTAAACCCTCAACCCTAAACCCCAAACCCTAAACCCTCAAACCCTAAACCCTCAAACCCGGAAAGCCGAGGCCCTCAATTTTGGAGCTGCCGAAGCAGGACCCGGCCCTGGCATCCGCCACGCATGACTCCCCTTCCAAACCCTAGATCACCCGAGACCATGCCAAACCCTAAACCCTAAACCCTAAACCCTAAACCCTAAACCCTAAACCCTAAACCCTAAACCCTAAACCCTAAACCTTAAACCCCGAACCCTAAACCCTACTTGGAGGTTCATGGGTAGTTAGAAGTAGGGATATAGGTACCTCGATACACATAACTTATGACCCTACTTGTATTGTAGCCCCATGAACCTCCAAGTGCCGCTGCTGCGATTTCTACCTATGGTCATAGCCTGCCTGAGGGCAGTTTCCTAAATTAGGGTCCCTTTTGGGGTGCCCATTACAAGGAGGCACCCTTCCAAAAAGCGAACTTAATTTAGGGAACTACCCATGAAGTGCCTTGGTACGACTTGCCAGGATGACTTCGACACGAGCTTCTGGAACTGGGCCGAGAGGCCACAGCACGGGGGTTTAGGGTTTAGGGTTTAAGAGTTTAGGGTTTAGGGTTTAGGGTTCTGGCCGTAAACTCCTAAACCGAAGTAACAACCCTGCACCAAATACAGCCCAGATATGATATGTAGCGACGCCGTACCTTTTTCCCACACCATGTAGCAGTGGTTCCCTAACCATATAGCCATGGTTCCCTAAAACCTTAAACCCTAAACCCCAAACCCTAAGTCTAGGGGCTTTGGCAGTTTTAGGGTTTGCAGTAGGGCGATGCAAGAGGCCATGTAAGAAACCTTTGCTCGAAGAAGCGTTGGTCGCCAAGAGACACGGGCCATGGAGGTTTAGTAGTGTTCAGGGTTTAAGTTTTTGGGTTCAGGGTTTAGGATTTAGGCGTCTTGGCAGTGCTGCATACATAAGTGTCTTGATTTATGAAGCCCTTGCTGGTAGCTGCGACCAGGCTGCGATTGCGATTGCTTGAGGCAGTCGGCGTTTGACAACAAGAGATACCCAAGCCCTTCGCGGCTAAAGTCAAGGAAGTGAGTTTAAATTATGGGGCTTCAATTTGAGGATTGAGGAAATACAGTAAATATCATCGTCACAGTACTTTCTGTCCCAAACCCCTAAACACAAACCCCTTTCTTGGAGGTTGATGAATAGTTGAAAGTAATTACCTACAACCCTATTTAGGGCTCCTTATAGCTATGCATGAACCTCCAAGCAAGCCTCCTTAGCCGTAAACCCTAAACCCTAAACCCTAAACCCTAAACCGTAAGCCCTGAACCCCTAAACCCCTAAACCCCTAAACCCCTAAACCCCTAAACCCCTAAACCCCTAAACCCCTAAACCCCTAAACCCCTAAACCCCTAAACCCCTAAACCCCTAAACCCCTAAACCCCTAAACCCCTAAACCCCTAAACCCCTAAACCCCTAAACCCCTAAACTCCTAAACTCCTAAACTCTTAAACCCTAAGCCCTAATGCCCGGAGCCCCAAACCCTAAACTTGAAGGCCCACCGTCATCACATTACTTTCTGTTCCACTTAAACCCCTAAACGTAAGCCCTTACTTGGAGGTTGATGACTAGTTCAAAGCAATAAAACTTACAACCCTACTTAGGGCCTAATCCCTAAACTGTAAGGCCTAAACCCCTTAACCCTTAGCCTAAGCCCTAAACCCTACACCCTAAACCCTAAATCCTAAACCCTAAACCCTTAACTTGACGCCCCTCAGCAGAAAAACCAGCCTTGCCCGCACAGGTGGGAACAGAGCCGGCCGAAGTCACGAACCTTGGCGGCAGCGCGTGCAGCAAGAACAACCGGAAACCCCAAACCCGAAGCCCTAAGCCCTAAACCCTGAACCCTAAACCCTAAACCCGAAGCCCTAAACCCCAAACCCCAAACCCTAAATCCTGAACCTCGCCCCTAGAATCCTTAAGTCCCATGCCAGCGCACGGGCTTCGGGAAGCGAAGCAGCTCTCAGCATTGGAAGCCTAGAGCAGATACTTGGTTCAGAGGTTTAGGGGTTTCGGGTTTGTGGGTTTAGAGAGCAGAAACTAGGTTCAGAGGTTTAGGGGTTTCGGGTTTTAGGATTTAGAGGTCTAGAGGTTTTGTGCTTTAGGGTTTAGGGCTGAGGGTGTAGAGGTTTAGGGTTTCATGGTTTTGGATTTTAGGTGTTTTTAGGGTTTAAGGTTTAGGGGTTTTAGGGTTTTAGGGGCTTTTGGGTACTAGGGTTTAGGGGTTTAGGGTTTGGGGTTTAGGGTTTAGCGTTGAGAGCGTAAATAGGGCTCAGGGTTTGGGGTCTAGGGTTTCGAGTTTAGGTTTTAGGGGTTTGGGATTTAGGGTTTGTTTTGGGATTTGGGGTTTAGGGTTGATGTTTTTGACTTCAGTGTTTCAAGCTTAGCTTTGAGGGTTTTGAGACGTTTAGGTTTTAGGGATCAGTTGCGAAAGCAGAAGAAGGCTTAACCCTAAACCCCAAACGCTAAACTCAAGCATTCATGAGTCCATTCGCAGGGTTTTTTTCGGAGGAGTTACTGACGGGAAAAGATGAGGGGTCTCAAGGTGAACGCCGGCAATCTGAAATCTAAGCGTCAAGGGTTTAGGGTTTAGGGTTTAGGGTTTAGGGTTTAGGGCTAGGCTTTGGGAAGCATCTTAAAACGCATACTTAATTGTTGAGGATAACTCTTGACAGTGAAGGTAAGCAACCTTTCCCGCAAACCCTGAACCCTACGTACCCGCAATCCTTAAGCCCTCAATCACCCTGCTTGGAGGATCAGGGCACCTCGAAAGTCGGGACGGAGTAACCTAAGAGGGACCCAATTAGATTGGGATTAATTTGGCCTACATATCCCAAAGACGCCCTCCCCAACTGAACCCTAAACCACCTGGGCCAAGCCCTAAGCCCTAAACCCTAAACCCTAAACGCTAAACCCTAAACCCTAAACCGACCCAAACGACCTGAAGCCCACGAAAAGTCTTTCCGAAGGAGGCGTGGACGTCCCACTGGTGCCACCGCCGTCGCTCCCCGGTTCGGTGGAGCTCCGACAGTGGCCCGGCAGGTGTGCAGTGGCCCTAAACCCTAAGCCCTAAGCCCTAAGCCCTAAGCCCTAAGCCCTAAGCCCTAAGCCCTAAGCCCGAAGCCCGAAGCCCGAAGCCCGAAGCCCTAAGCCCTAAGCCCTAAGCCCTAAGCCCTAAGCCCTAAGCCCTAAGCCCTAAGCCCTAAGCCCTAAGCCCTAAGCCCTAAGCCCTAAGCCCTAAGCCCTAAACCCAAACCCTGCGGGTTTTCGGGGTTCTTGGGGCGGAGGGTCAAGCGGAGTCCCAGACCAAGAAACCCTTCTCCTTGAGGTTTCGGGTTAATCTGGTCCAGCAACGCCACTGAAGCCACTACTTGGAGGTTCATGGTACATACTAACCAATTATAACCGTACTTATAACCCTACTTATAATACCCCTAAAGGGCCTTATAGGGGTTCTCCCAATTATAAGTAGGGTTATCAGCCCAGTTATAAGTGGTCATTACGTCCCATGCACCTCCAAGTACCCAGAGAGCCCAAAACCCCTTAACTAAGGAAGATACCCTAAACTATTAATGGGATCCTTGATCCTGAGTATGATTTAATTAAGGTACATTCCTTAGGGTATTGGGCTCTGTGGGTAAACCTTGAGTGTAGGGGTTTGGGTCTTTTTTTTTCGGGGCGATTTGAGGTGTGGATTGCGGGATGCGGTCTTGGACCCTAAACCCTAAACCCTAAACCCTAAACCCTAAACCCTAAACCCTAAACCCCAAACCCCGAAACCCTAATCCCCACCTGTATCCGCTTCAGGGTTTTACTTTCGGTCAGCATGAATGCCCCTGTAACTTCTTCGGCTTGCTTCCAAATTGGAGCTCCAGAAAAAAAGGAAACGGAGCCACCCTGTAAGTCCTCACAACCTTTTTTCCTAGATTTTAGGGCGGGCTCTGGGTAAGAGTTCTCCAGCCGTAGTCGGGACCTTGCGGTGGCATCCGTTCACAGTGTCATAGTGTGACACAACCCGCGCGCCTGCGCTTCACGACCAGCAAATCTACACCAGAAGGGTTGAGGGGTTTATGGTTCGGGCTCCTTATAGGGTTTTCAGGGGTGAGAGTGGGTTTAGGGTTTAGGGTTTAGGGTTTAGGTTTAGTGTTTAGGGTCTAGGGTTTAGGGTTTAGGGTTTAGGGTTTAGGGTTTAGGGTTTAGGGTTTAGGGTTTAGGGTTTAGGGTTAGGTATCCTCCCGATGCTATCGTTGCTTGGGCTTCACCGCCATAGTGAGACAGCGGGATCATCAAGCCACGGCCTGTATCCCACAGCAAACTCTGCAAAAGCCACCCTCCAACCACGAACAGGCTCACCCAAATCTTTCGAAAGAGCCTAAGCAGGCACTTAGTCTAGGATGCATCCTAGTCTACTTGGAGGTTCGTGGGACTTAATAACCACTTATAACTGGGCTCATAACCTTACTTATAATTGGGATAACCCCTATAAGGCCTTCAGGGGTATTATAAGTAGGGTTATAAGTACAGTTATAATTGGTTAGTAATTAAGTACCATGAACCTCCAAGTAGGAAACATCCAGAAGGGCCATCCTAGGAAACATCGAGGTTTTGAAGCCTTATGTTCAAAGAATCCCAGGAGCGGCACTGCCGACTCCCTGGACAGGCCCGTTTCCCGAAACGGGGGCTAGGAGGTTGAGCGTTTGAATGTTGGTTTGGGCGTTTCTTGCCTTTTGCTTTTGTTTTTTTTTTGCCGGTGGGTGGGGTGGGTGGGTGGGTGGGTGGCTTTAGTCTCCGTTTGTGAACCATGTTTACATGTTTAGCTTGCACTTTCTTATGCGTGTTGCAAAGTATGTTCAGCTTGAAGACCTGGTGTCTCATGGCATGATTAAACCCCAGTAAAACCCTAGGGGTTAGGGTTGAATTGTAATTGATTTGATTAATTGCATTAATTGGATTAATTTAATTGATTAAATTCATTAATGAAAGGACCCGGAATAGGCCATTGTTTCTCTTTTTTAGGGTTGGGGTTCCCCTATACTCCCCTTAAAAACGAAAAAGGGCACCCTGTCTATTCAAAGGTTACTCCTAGTAGTAAAGCAAGGGGTGTGAATCTTCGCCTTTGCCGCCATCTTGAAACCCTAAACCCTAAACCCTAAACCCTAAATCCTACTGACCCCAAACCGCCCCCGTGGAGGCCCGCGCTGTCATTGCCAAACCCGCCGGCGCGTCCGCCACCATCCCCAAAGATGGGAATGCACCTCGGCGCCCGAGTTTGGTGGAGATCCCTAAACCCTAAACCCTAAACCCCAAACCCTAAACCCTAAACCTTGGGGTGTTTCCCTAATACTAACAGCTCCTAAACGCTAAACCCTAAACTGCATAAACCCTAAAGCCCTAAACCCAGGGGGGGGGGGGGGGGTGAGCCCTAAACCCGAAAAGCACGGGGAAGCCCCAAACGTCTGAAATGTGGAAAAGATAAGGGTTTAAGGTGGTGTTGAAGTCACATTGTATGGGGTTGCTGGGTCTTGTTGTGAAGTCTCAGCCCTATCCCCTCAAGCTCTGGGCCCAACATCTTCATGAATTCGCTGTTGCTTTGGGGCTCGCCTGTGTCTGTGGTTTTTTTCTAGAAGCCTAAACCCTACACCCTAAGCCCCAAACGGCAGGGCTTAGATTCCTCAGCCCCCCGATCCTGAGCCCGATGAGACCCTGAAGCCAACCCAAAACTCCCTATAACACCTCGCACCTTCAAGAATCTCAGGGGTTTAGGGTCTGGGGTTTAGGGCTTAGGGTTTCAGAAGCCCTATGTTATGAGATCCTAGACTACCACTCCCTACACCTCGAATATAAGCCCTGAACCCTAAGCCCTCGACCCTCGACACATGCCCACCCCACCCTTCTTTGGGGTCGGGTCGGAGTGCGGGTCGCGATGTTCCCCAAACCCTAAACCCTAAACCTAAACCCTAAACCCTAAACCCTAAACCCTAAACCCTAAACCCTAAACCCTAAACCCTAAACCCTAAACCCTAAACCCT